TTAGTGTTGGCTAGTGAGTGTATGTTTCGAATCAGAGAGTCGACTCTTGGCTTAGATCATCTGAGTCGACTCCCAAAATATGTAAGAGTCGACTCCGATGATTCACCGACTTCCGTGTGGAGTGTCGAATCCGTTATAGTGTACAGCTGAACCACCAGGGCCGAGAGTCAGATGTGAGTCAGATTCGTTTTGCGATTTGGATCGGCGTGTAGCTGTGCCTGTGATCACTGATATTTAGTGATTTGCAAGTCGTTTGATACTGATAGGGAGTAAAGAGTGTGGGCAACAATGGCCACAATCTACAGGGAAAAACGGTAGCAAACGGTTTGCGTTTGTATTTGTAAACGTTTGAAGAGAATATATGCTTTATCGTCGCATTCATTCGCATTTTTGTATGACGACAAATTTCAGTGAAAGAACTAAGTACATAACCCTTGACTGCAGTGGAAGAACTAATTTCAATTTTAGTCGTTTCAGTAAACAAATATGTAATCGAATTATCGGTCAAGCTCAAGATCGACAAAATTCGTCAATCGGCCCAGATTCCGCTATTTCCGTCCGTTCCGAGACGGGCCACCGTGATTATGCGAATTACGAACTTAGCGATTCGATATCTACCATGGGAGTTGGGAGTCGGAAGAGTCGGCTCCCAGTTTCGACTCTCAACTTTGAAATGAGTCATTTGATTCGAAACATCAAAATGAATCGTTTTGCCCATCACTAGAGCCGGCTGTCGCTTCTGGTATTATATTCTGTGCTAATACAAACATATTTGTTGTGCGCCGCTGGGATGAAGACGACCAATATCTCGTATCTCGAGTGATCACTCGATTATTGGAAGTACTCAATTATTACAGATAACTCGATTATCAAAATTCGTCGATTATGCCCATCACTAAAACCTACCACTTGTCAGACCCTGCTATAAGTCGAGTAGCGGCAACACAACTGTAGCGACTTGACGAGAAAACATGGTAGCGCCATCTATGCGGGTAATGGAGAATTAATGAATCGTTACATAATAATTCTTCAACCGTGTTAAAATGTAGCATACACGTCAATATTTAAACATTACTTCTTGATTAAATCACTGAAGATCTCTGCGCCAAACTAAATTTTTATCAAATCACATACCCAAAAATGCAATTTTAGGTATGTGGATCAAATGTGTTTGATCAAAATATGAATGGCAACAAAAGCTATCAGTTGATTTTTTCGAAGGATACCTTGTTTCCTACCGTCTTTCATTGAATCAGAAAAGACAAAATCATTAATAAAATAGTTTGGATAATTTAATTTTTGGGAGTTTATCGAATTTGTCGTGACACTCGTGACGGAAAAATTACGCCCTTTATACTATTTCGATGCAACTAATTTGATGAAAATTTTATAATCTGACATAGGCCTTAATTGTAAGTCTCTGAATACAACTGATAACTCACGCCACGGAGCTTTATATTAAGGTAGTATATTAAATATTAAAAATATACGCCAATGCATGTAATATGGATGTTCTTGCTAATCAGAAATCAGAATATAAGATAAGAAAGATATAAAACGCGATTGTAGAAGTGAAGTGGATGGACCACCTTTTAGATTCTTACATTTCTCAGCATGAAGCTATATTGCCAAATGCCAACGCCAAACTACGTTGCGTTAAAAAATGTATTAATCCGGTTTTAATGTTGACTCGTCAGCATTGTCATCAACCCACACACCAGGCACGCATTTACTGCATTTCCGACGTTCTAACATTCTACTGTTATGGAATATGTTTCACTTATTTAAATATGGGGTGTTGAACAGACTCACTTCCCCTTTCGAGATAAATTCAAATAGAATTCGATAACTTTCACAGTAATGGTAGGAAAGTCTGCGGAATAACTTCTAAATAACGCCTGTATTTCTTTCACTACTAACTATAGATAACGAAATATAACTGCTGACATCTATCGAGTATTTATTTGAGCAATGTTTTATGATGAAAGGAAGAATATCTTTGGCGGTGGCTGTCACAAAATATTTCCAATATCTCCCTGATTGTGCATCACTGTTTATTTTTTATTTTATTTAAAATATCTGAAGCTGAACACACTATTTTGTTTAATTAGATGATGGTGATATATCTGATAAATATCTCTTTCAGGAGTTTCAGGATGTATTTCTAAGGAAATTCGTGTAATCAAACAACTGTTTGCAATGATAACATTTTAATAAATTCAGTAAAAATGTGCGGTGTCATTCATAAATTATCCCAAAAACATGAATGCTGTAAGCATTAAAATTTTAATAAACATAAAACTTCATTATAATTTATTTCGAGTGTTTATTCACAAATATACATTTTTTTATAATATTTATTGCTATTAAACGCTGTTGAAATATACAAAGCAAGTCAAAAGTGATGTCGCCGTTTTAAATCAGAGAAATAGAATATATGGCACGGTAAAGCCCAAGAATTGTCACCTTTACAGTGACTTAACTATACACAAACAGATGTCGCTCACTCCGTGAATTTCTCTAATTGCGTCAAAAGGCAACTACTGAAGTCCTAGCATCATTATAGGCAAACTACCCTCTTTAGGGAACCGTACGGATTACCCCATCTAACTTTCGTCCATTCCTAATCTTTCAAACAAATAATTCAAGTCAACCATACTTAGCAAATCCCATCGAGCACTTTTATAACGAATCGCAAACAAACATAACTGTTTAAATCGTACGAAATCACCGCGGAGACATTTTCCAAGGCGGGCGTTTCGAAATTTCCCCGCAACTAGGGAAATTTCACCCCGTGAGAGTTCCCGGCATATCTATTGATTATTTCGGCCACCCCTCACCAGTCTCGTTCTGTACATACTCGGTTTACGGTACGGGAAAGCTGAGAAAATGCTCGGAAAATCGCCCTGGGTGGTGCGGAAAAAACTCACACGAAAATAAGCAACGCTAAAACGGCGACGTAGTGGCGTCAGAAGTGGGATCTTTAGAAAAAAAAAGTATGTATTAGTGAGGTCTGTTGAGAAATGTGATAATAATAAAGGAATCTTTCCAGAAAAACACCCGTACCCCCTCGGTTACCGTTACCTAGTAAATTTTGTTTAATTATATAAAAAGTGGGCCGATCCCGGCGGTACTGCAATACCGGGCCAACCCGCGACAGAGGTGGAGCAAGCCCCTAACCTCCGTCAATGTCCAAAAATCAGTTTAATATACTGGCCCCGCATGCGGGGCGTATCAGATATTAAGCTGATAAGAACAGATACTACACTTTGATCTTAGCCAGAGGCCGAGAAGCGATACCTACAACTTGTCAGACCCTGCTACAAGTCGAGTCGTGGCAACACAACTGTAGCGAGATGACGAGAAAACGTGGTGTCGCCATCTGTGGACAGAATAAATAATTTATCGTGATGCTGTTTGATCTAGGTGCTTAATATACATTAAACAATGTAATTACACCCACACTTAATAATAATAATATAATA